GGAGGTAGGCTGTAGCAGTGACCGCGACGGGACAGGCTGTGGACCCTCCAAGAGAGGAGGAGGACCAGGAGAGGGCGGAAGACCAAGAACCTGCTGCAGGAGTGGAACGAAGTACGGTCGAGGCCGCGTAGCTACGCCAGAAACAGCAGGGACAGCACCAGTACCCCCAGCAGGAGCACCCGCTCCAGCAGCACCTCCAGTAGCTCCAGAACCTCGAGCAACACCAGGAGCACCCCCAGCAGGACCGCCAGTGGTAGTCTCAGCGCCAACACCCTCAGTAGCACCAGCTCCAGTCGAACCCGCAGGCCCAGCAGCTCCAGTACGCCCAGTACGAGCACCTCCGGGACCCGCAACAGCAGCACCCTCAGTAGCCGACGAACCTCCAGCACCAGCAGCACGGCTCCAGCGTCGGGCAAACCACTCGCGCAGCTCCTGTGGAGAGAGTGGCTCCCGGCGAGACAAAGCACGCGTAGAAACTCGAGGCGGAGGACCTCCAGGCGCAGCACTCCCAGGTCCAGCACCCCCAGGCGTAGCACCCCCAGGCGTAGCACCCCCACACTCAGCACCCCCAGGCTCAGCACCCCCAGGCTCAGCACCCCCAGGCTCAGCACCCCCAGGCTCAGCACCCCCAGACTCAGCACCCCCAGACTCAGCACCCCTAGGCTCAGCACCCCCAGGCCCAGCACCCCCAGGCCCAGCACCCCCAGGCTCAGCACCCCCAGCAGTACCAGAGTCACCAGTGACCTCGACAGGCTCGACTGCGTCTACCTGGGACACACCTGAAGGGGCAGGACCCTGAGGGGGGAGGGGGTCTACCGGGGGGGGACCTGGTACAAGGAAGAGCGGGGGCGGGGGGGGGGGACGGAGTGCGGTAGGGGAAGAGGCGGTAGTAGGGTACCGACTCGTCGAACGTGACGTCCTGAGAGGACAGAACACGGCGAGAGGTGGGGTGGTAGAACTGCCACCCAGGCGCGTCTGGGTGGAACCCCAGGAAGACGCAAGGAGCAGCACGAGGGGACAGTTTGTCCGCAGACAAGTCGCGGACAAACGCCCGAGATCCCCAGACCCGGAACGCCGACGCATCGCCCACCTTCCCGGTCCACAGCAAGGCTGGGGAGGTCTCCGGCCTGGAGACCCTGGGGTGAAGGTTGATCTGACGTGCCGCGTACCTCACCGCAAACGGCCACAGAAAATGGGGGGCAGCCGCATGCATCATAGACGTACGAGCGACGTCCATGACCATGCCAATGCGGCGCTCAGCAATCCCATTTTGCTGCGGAGAGTCCGGGAGCGTGAAGGTCTGACGGATGCCTCGTGCACGACAGTAGGCTCGCAGAAGGCCAGAGGAGAACTCTCCGCCTCTGTCCGAGTGCAGACGCAGAACAGGAAAGTCGGAGCCAAAGCTCTGCCTGAGCTGGAGACGAGCTGCGCGGATCCAGTCGATCAGCACCTCAGTGACATCACCCTTGCCGCGCAAGGGGAAGACTGCGGTGTAACGCGAGTAGTCGTCAACAACGAGCAGGAAGTAGCGCTCGTGACCCTGCCCACGGACGCGGGCTGGGCCCCACACGTCCATGTGGAGCGTCTGCAACGGGGCCTCTGTCGGAGGAAACTGGGAGGAGTGAGGGGCAGCACGCTGGCGCCCCTCGACACAGGGGACACAGGTAGGGCCAGGGCCCTGAGGAAGGGGAGGGAGGGACCGGGGGAGACCAGACACTAGAAGACGGGAGGCCATGCCTCTGAGCCGAAGCAGAGAGGGGTGACCAAGACGGTGGTGCCAGAGAAGAGTCTCGTGAGACAGGAGACGACAAGAACAGGGGGCAGACTCAGGACCAGACCCGGACGCAGCAGCAAACACCTGACCCGACGAAGCGACTCTACCAGACTCAGTAACGGGAGGAGACGCAGTGGTCAGTGTGTACAGGCTCGACCCCGGCTGACGGGTAAACGTAGCCAGGTGTCGGCCTGTGCGAGCCTCTGTACAGTGCGTCACCCGCTGACGCGCAGGAGTGAACTGGTGTACACCCGCATCCTGTAGGTCAGCACCACTCACCAGGTTCGTAGAGAACGAGGGGAGGTAGAGACCAGACAGGGTGCCAGAGGGAGCCGCCGGACACGGGAGGACTGTGGAGAAGCGAGACAGGACAGGACCCCCAGAGGGGTCAGCCAGAGACACTGCAACCGGTCGACTCAGCGGTGTGAGTGTGGTGCGGTCCCTAAAGAAGGAGCGAGACGCCCCAGAGTCAAGGGTGAAGGTGAGGGAGGCCGAAGCCGACGTAGTACCTGAGAGCGCAGACTCACCAGTACCTGAGGACGCAGACACACGAGCACCTAGGGCAGCAGCGTCGCAAGCACCTAGGGCAGCAGCCTCACCCGGACCTAGAGCAGCAGTCTCAATACCCGGATCGGGCGGGAAACACCGGTAACAGTCACCCTCATCACTAATAGACACAGCATACATGGCAGAGAGAATAGCATCAAAGTCAAGATCATAGATGGCAACACCCGCCCTGGACAGGTCACCCCAACGAGGGATCTCTGAGGCCTCCGGGAACTGGTGACGCCACGCGTCCGTCAGGCGGCCAAAGCAGCGCTGAGTGGGGTGGGGACCCCCACACTGCTCACCCGCACGGTCGCCGGTGCGCAAAACGTAGGAGCACGGACCAAAACCCCCACCTCGCTGACGCGCAGTGTACCACTCACGAAGCTGCTGAGGGGACAAGGTGTCACGACCACGCTGCTGCTGCTGGCGCGAGCCACCACCGGAGCCACTCCTCTGCGAAGACCCGCGACCAGCACCACCTCCACCCCCGCCGCCTCCTCCGCCTCCGCCGCCTCCGCTACTGCCGCCGCCTCCACCTCCGCCTCCGCCGCCGCCACCTCCGCCACCCCCGCTCCCACTGCCACCGCCGCCGACACCTCCGCCTCCACTGCCGCCACCGACTCCTCCACCCCCACCTCCACTCCCACCGCCACCCCCACTCCCCCCACTGCCGCCACCTCCACCTCCACCGCCCCCGCTCGCTCCTCCAGCGCCCTTGCCCCCCTTGCCCTTGCCAGAGCGGCGTCTCCCACTAGGGGCAGACGCCACACCGACCGACTCAAGACCAAGGAGGTCGGCCGCAGCAGCAGAGGCAACAGAGGGCAGTAGGGGGGAGGGGGAACACCCCTCAAAGATGGGGGTGCGCGGGTCACCACGAGAGGCCCCTACAGCGACTATGCTCTTCTCGGCCGCTAGGAGGGACTTCTCGAGGAGGTCAACAGTGAGAGTGGTGGGACAGACAGAGAGAAAGTGGTCCCTGACTACGCGAAGGGAGTCAGGAAGGCGAGTGACTATGTAGTAAAGAGTGATGTACATGGGGGGGGGGTTCTTGGCGCAGAAGTCAGCAGGGAGTGCAGCGCGGTAGCGAGTGTCACTAGTGCGGAGGTGCGTAATGAGGTCAGCGACTGTGGGAAAGGCAGCAAGGTCAGGAAAGAGGTACGGTAGCATGAGACGGCTCAGTGCAGCAGTGGCAGGGGAGGAGTAGCGCGCAACTACAGCGTCGTACAAGGTCTGAGCACTCTTGTACTGACTAAAGTGTGCACGCTCGGAGGTAGGGAGGTGGCGACGCACAGCAAGACGTGCAGCAGCGTCGCGCGTGGCCCACTGGGAGCGAACAGTGGCGTCGGCGTCAGCAGCAGGGGCAGTGGAGGCGCCAGAGGTGAGGTCAAAGAGAGAGAGACCATCTGCCCTATCGCACTGTAAGAACAGCTGCAGGTCATCCACCCAGACCTCAAAGTCAATGGCCCGACCCTCAGCGTCAAAGACTAGAACACTAGGGGTAGCCATGACCCTAGACGACTGGCAGCGCAAACAGTAGGGTGAGGGCAGTGCAGTGAAAGGGCGCTGTGCTCACCAGACTGGACAGGTCGGGCGGCCCGGAAGGAGGGCGGCGCGGCGGCTCGGCGGCTCGGCTGCCGGGCGGCTCGGCGGCTCGGCGGCTCCGCTGCTGGGCGGCACGGCTGCTGGGCGGCTCGGCTGCTGGGCGGCTCGGCTGTTGAGCGGCTCGGCTGCTGGGCGGCTCGGCTGCTCTGCTGTCGGGCGGCTCGGTTGTGCTGCTGAGGGGCAGCACGGCTCGGGCTGCTCGGGCGGTGCGGGCGGCTCGGGCGGCTCGGGCGGCTCAGCTCCTCAGCGGCACAGGCGGCGTGGGGACCGAGACGGCGGCGCGCGGCTGGGACGGGCGGCGCACGGGCGGCGTGGGGCCGGGACTGCGGTGCGCGGCCGGGACGGGCGGCTCACGGGCGGCGTGGGGCCGGGACGGGCGGCGCGCGGGCGTCGAGGGGCCGGGACGGGCGGCGCGCGGGCGTCGAGGGGCCGGGACGGGCGGCGCGCGGGCGTCTAGGGGTCGGGCCGGGTGGCGCGCGGGCGTCTAGGGGCCGGGACGGGCGGCGCGTGGGCGTCGAGGGGCCGGGACGGGCGGCGCGCGGGCGTCTAGGGGCCGGGACGGGCGGCTCACGGGCGGCGAGGGGCCGGGACGGGCGGCGCGCGGGCGTCGAGGGGCCGGGACGGGCGGCGCGCGGGCGTCGAGGGGCCGGGACGGGCGGCGCGCGGGCGTCTAGGGGCCGGGACGGGCGGCGCGCGGGCGTCTAGGGGCCGTGACGGGCGGCGCGCGGGCGTCTAGGGGCCGGGCCGGGTGGCGCACGGGCGTCTAGGGGCCGGGACGGGCGGCGCGCGGGCGTCTAAGGGGCCGGGACGGGCGGCGCGCGGGCGTCTAAGGGCCGTGACGGGCGGCTAAAGGGGCCACTAGGGGCCAAGAGAGAGGGGAGCGCGACTCGGGTAGGGGCAGAGTGCGATCCGGGCAGGAAAAAAAAACGGTGGGCCCTAGGAACAGTTCCCACGAGGGAACCTGCTCGATACCATGAGAAGAATGAAGAACGAGGATGAATGAACTATGAATGAGGTGAGTACATATAGAAAACCCTAATTGGGTTGTACCCCCTATGGGATACCCCACTATAGCCTACACAACAGCATAAGCTATATAATGTTCTGACAGGACCTGCTGCACCATGTGTGACTGAGTCAAGGTAATGGTGCGCTGTGCTCTGTCCCGGGTGATCCGCAAGCCAAGATAGCTTGTCAGCTCACCCAGGTCTGTGCACGTGTGTCTCTTCTGCAGCTCGGACTTCACGTGGGCGAGTGCCTCAGTGTCAGCAGTAGCAAAGACGAGGTCGTCTACGTACACGAGAACGTAGAACGGCGGCAGAGTAGTGTCAGTGAGTAAAAACAGAGAAGGGTCAGAAGTGGAAGGAGCAAAACCAAGAGCAGCAAGAGTCGTCCTGAGTGTGTCGTGCCACTCACGGGGTGCCTGGCAGAGACCGTAGACTGGTCGCCGGAGGCTCCACTGGGTACCAGCTGGAAACGACCCAGTGAAGCCAGGTGGGCGGCGCAGCCAGATCTCCTCGTGCTGGCTGCCCTGTAGAAAGGCTGTGCTGAAGTCAAGCGAGTGGAGCTCGTAGTCACGCTGAGCAGCAACGTGCAGCAGTACCCGAAGAGTGGTCATCTTTGGGGTAGGGGAGAAGGTCTGAAAGAAGTCAACTCCCTGTCGCTGACTGAAGCCACGTGCAACGTAACGCGCCTTGAAGGCAGGCGGAGAACCCGGCGGCCGCTTCACCCTGAAGATCCACATGCCATTAACGATGTTCGCCCCAGGTGGGGGAACCTTGTCTACGTAGGTGCCTGTGGACTTCCAGGAAGCCATCTCTGCGTCCATGGCTGCCTGCCACTGAGAGGAGTAGGGACCCTCTATCGCCTCTGCGTAAGAGCGCGGGGTCGGGATGTCTAGTGCATCCGGGTCTCCCTCGAGGGCAAGCAGCATGGACACGAGATGAGGTGAAGCAGCGGCCAAGCACTCAAGTCCTCCTGTCTGTCCTCAAGAACGTCCGTGCCAAGAGCACACTCACCCCCGACGGACGGAGGACAGACAGACGCAGACGCAGATTCAACAACAAGACTAGTGGCGTAGTCTAGGCGACAGGCTGCAGCAAAGTCAACGAGCTCAGTAACAAGAGCAGACACAGCAGTGGACTCAAACAAAGGGTTAGTGACAGCAGTGGCCAGAAAGCGCGTGACCGCCGGACTAGCAGCACGAAGGGAGTCAGACTCCGGGTCCGGACCGACAGGAAGAGAGGACGCAGGAGGAGACGGCAGAGGGACACGCTGTGGAGAAGTGGAAGGACACAGAGTCATAGAGTGAGTGCCAGGGACAGGAGGAGGACGCGGACGCGAAACACGACCAGCGCGAACAGTACGGACAGGCGACGCAGAACGAGACTCAGGCGAAACAGGACGCGAATCAGGCTCACGACGCTCTGTAAGACCTCTAGTCGGTCCAGAGTATGGAGAAGCACCAAGTAGTGGAGAGGCCGGCTGTAACTGCGACTGGGACTGGACAGGCGGTGGGATCAGGAAAGGAGGAGGAGGACCAGGAGAAGGCGGGGAACCAAGAACCTGCTGAAGTAGAGGAACGTAGTACGGCCGCGGCCGCACAGCGCCTCCAGCAGCTCCAGGAGCTCCTGCACCAGCAGCTCCTCCAGCACCAGTAGCACCGCCAGCAGCTCCAGTAGCACCTCCAGCACCAGCAATACCTCCAGCAGCTCCAGCAGCACCAGCACCTCTAGCAGCTCCAGCAGCAGCTCCAGCACCAGTAACACCTCCAGCACCAGGAGCACCTCCAGCAGCACCTCCAGCACCAGCAGCACCACCAGCAGCCCTAGCAGCACCTCCAGCACCAGCAGCGCCTCCAGCAGCTCCAGCAGTACCAGCACCTCCAGCAGCTCCAGCAGTAGCTCCAGCACCAGCAACTCCTCCAGCACCAGGAGTACCTCCAGCAGCTCCAGCAACACCAGCACCTCCAACAGCTCCAGCAGCACCAGCAGCTCCAGCAGCAGCAGCAGCTCCAGCAGCAGCAGCACTGCCAGCAGCTCCAGCAGCACCAGTAGCACCACCAGCAGCCCTAGCAGCACCTCCAGCACCAGTAGCACCTCCAGCAGCGGCTCCAGCACCAGTAGCACCACCAGCAGCCCTAGCAACACCTCCAGCACCAGCAGTAGCTCGACAGCGCCGAGAGTACCACTCACGAAGCTGCTGTGGAGAGAGGGGCTCCCGCCGCGACGGAACACCTAGAGCACCGCCAGACTCAGCACGCGAAGGCTAAGCACCTCCAGACGCAGTACCCTCAGGCTCCACACGCCCAGGCTCAGCACCCCCAGACGCAGCACCCCCAGACACAGAAACCCCAGGCTCGGCACCCCCAGTCCCCGCACCCGCAGGCTCAGCACCCCTAGTAGCACCTGAGTCGACAGCTACCTCGACCGGCTCAGCAGGGTCTACCTGGGACACACCTGAGGGGGCAGGACCCTGGGGGGGGAAGGGGGTCTACCGGGGGAGTACCTGGTGCTAGGAAGAGCGGCGGGGGGGGTAGAGAGGCAGTGCGGTAGGGAAAGAGACGATAGTAAGACACCGACTCGTCAAACGTGATGTCCTGAGAGGACAGAACACGACGCGAGGTGGGGTGGTAGAACTGCCACCCGGGTGCGTCAGGAGGGAAGCCAAGGAAGACACAGGGAACGGCACGGGAGGACAGCTTGTCCGCTGTAGTATCGCGGACAAAAGCTCGAGATCCCCAGACACGGAACGCGGACGCATCGCCAACCTTCCCCGTCCACCGCAGAGTAGGTGTGGTCTCCGGCAAGGAGACACGAGGCTGAAGGTTGATCTGATGCGCAGCGTACTGAACTGCGAACGGCCACAGAAAATGGGGAGCAGCCGAATGGATCATGGACGTACGAGCGACGTCCATGACCATGCCAATGCGGCGCTCAGCAATCCCATTTTTCTGCGAGGAGGCCGGAAGCGTGAACGTCTGGCGGATGCCCTCCGAACGACAGAAGGCCCTCAGGAGGTCGGAGGAAAACTCCCCACCTCAGTCTGAGTGCAGACGCAGAACAGGAAGGTCCGAGCCGAAACTCTCACTCAGCTGGCAACGAGCACTGTGGATCCAGTCGATCAGCACCTCAGGGACCTCACCCTTGCTGCGCTAGGGGAAGACTGTGTTGTAACGCGAGTAGTTCTCAACGACCAGCAGGAAGTAACGCTCGTGACCCTGTCCACGGACGCGGGCTGGGCCCCACACGTCCATGTGAAGAGTCTACAGAGGAGCCTCAGTCGGAGGGAACGAGGAGGAGTGAGGAGCGGCGCGCTACCGGCCCTCGACACAAGGAACACAGGTGGGGGCAGGCCCCGGAGGAAGGGGAGGGAGGGACCGGGGTAGACCCGAGACAAGGGCATGGGAGGCCATACCTAGAAGACGAGGCAGGGAGGGGTGACCAAGTCGGTGGTGCCAAAGGAGAGTCTCGTGCGACAGAGGACGACACGAGCAGGGGCCAGACGCAGGACTAGACCTGGACGTGGCAGCAAACACCTGACTAGACGCAGCTACCTGACCAGACGCAGAGACCGGAGGAGGCGCAGTAGTCAGTGTGTACAGACTCGACCCTGGCCGACGGGTGAACGTGGCCAGGTGGCGGCCCGTCCGAGAGCAAGTGCAGTGGGTCACACGCTGACCTCCTGGGGTGAACTGGTCAACCCACGCATCCTGGAGGTCAGCTCCACTCACCAAGTTCGTAGAGAACGAGGGGAGGTGGAGTCCCGACAGCAAGCCCGACGGGGCCGCAGGACACGGTAGAACCGTGGAAGAGTGTGCAAGGACTGGGCCCCCAGAGGGGTCAGCAAGGGAGACTGCAACAGGCCGACTGAGCGGCGTGAGTGTGGTGCTGTCTCTAAAGAAAGAGCGCGAAGCACCAGAGTCAAGTGTGAAAGTGTGCAAGGCCTCAGTAGGTGCAGTACCAGAGAGAGCAGACGCACCAGCACCTGGAGCAGCAGATGCACCAGTACCTGGAGCAGCAGACGCACTAGCACCTAGAGCAGGAGCCGCAATGCCCGGGTCGGGCGGGACACTCAGGTAACAGTCACCCTCAGCACTATCAGCAAAAGCATACATGGCAGCAAGGATAGCATCAAAATCTAGATCAAAGATAGGCACATTCTGCAGAAGCAGATCATGCCAGCGAGGGAGCTCAACGGCGTCAGGAAACTGGGCACACCACGCGTCAGTCAAGCGACCGAAGCAGCGCTGCGTAGTGTGTGGCAGCCCACACGCCTCCCCACGATGACTGTCGGTGCGAAGAACGTAAGTGCAGGGACCAGCACCCCCAGACCTCCCACGCCCAGCGTACCACTCACGAAGCTGCTGGACCGACGGGGTCTCACGGGAGCGCAGCTGCTGCTGGCGCTGGCTGCCACCAAAGCCTCCACGCTGCGTGGCTGCACCTCGACCAGCACCACCGCCGCCGCCACCTCCACCACCGCTGCCGCTGCCTCCACCACCTCCGCCACTGCCGCCACCACCTCCACCGCCGCCACTGACGCCCCCACTCCCGGTACCACCCCCACCTCCACCGACACCTCCTCCGCCTCCTCCACCTCCTCCACTGCTTCCCCCGCCGCCCCCTCCACCACCCTTGCTCCCCTTGCCCTTGCTGTTGCGGCGTCTCTCACTAGGGGCAGACGCAGCTCCGACCTCCTCAGTGCCAACGAGGTCGACAGCAGCAGCAGAAGCAAGAGAGGGGAGAAGGGGGACAGGGGAACACCCCTCAAAGAAAGGGGTGCGACGGTCGCCGAGAGAAGCACCTACAGCTAAGATACTCTTCTCAGCTGCAGCAAGGCGCTCCTCTAGCAGGTCGACAGTCAGCTCGGTGGGGCAAAGGGAGAGAAAGTGGTCCCTGACTGAAGAAAGGGAGTCAGGGAGGCGGGTGACTAGGTAGTAAAGGGTTATCTACATGGGGGGGGGGTTCTTGGCACAGAACTCAGTGGGAAGGGCAGCGCGGTAGCGGGCGTCACTAGTGCGAAGGTGAGCAACTAGGTCAGCGACTGTGGCAAAGGCGGCAAGGTCAGGGAAAAGGTACGGCAGCATGAGGCGGCTGAGGGCAGCAGTGGCAGGGGAGGAGTAGCGTGCAACTACAGCGTCGTACAAAGACTGAGCAGTCTTGTACTGGCCAAAATGCGCGCGCTCAGCAGACGGCAGGTGACTACGAACAGCAAGACGATCAACAGCGTCACGAGTGGTCCACTGCGAGCGAACCGTACTGTCAGCAGTGGCAGCAGGAGCAGTAGAAACACCGGACGTGTGATCGAAAAGGGATACCCCATCCCTAGAATCACACTGAAGAAAGAGCTGTAGGTCGTCAACCCACACGTCAAAGTCAACTGCACGTCCCTCAGCATCAAAGGTGAGAATGGTAGGACTAGCCATAGCAGTTGTAGGAGCAGTAGCAAGAGTAGCAGCAGTAGCAGGAATAGCAGCAGTAGCAGCAGTAGTAGCAGAGGCAGTAGGGCAGTGCAAGGCAGTGCAGCTCGGAAGGGCAGTGCGGCTCGGCAGGGCGGCGCGGCTCGGCTGTGCGGCGCGGCTCGGCTGGGCGGCGCGGCTCAGCTGGGCGGCGCGGCTCGGCTTACCAGAGACGGGTGCAGGGGCGGGCCGTGACAGCAGGGGCCGCGCCAGAAGGGGCCGCGCCAGCAGGGATGGCGACGGCAGGGGGGGGCCGCGACTGCAGGGGCCGCGCCAGTAGGGGGGCGCGCCAGCAGGGGTCGCGCCAGCAGGGGCCGGCAGGGGCGCGTCAGCAGGGGCCGGTAGGGGTGCGCCAGCAGGTGCGCGTCAGCAGGGGCCGGCATGGGCGCGTCAGCAGGGGCCGGCAGGGGCGCGCCAGCAGGGGCGCGTCAGCAGGGGCCGGCAGGGGCGCGTCTGCAGGGGCACGTCAGCAGGGGCCGACAGGGGCGCGCCAGCAGGGGCCGGCAGGGGCGCGTCAGCAGGGGCCGGCAGGGGCGCGTCAGCAGGGGCCGGCAGGGGCGCGCCAGCAGGGGCGCGTCAGCAGGGGCCGGCAGGGGTGCGTCAGCAGGGGCCGGCAGGGGCGCGCCAGAAGGGGCACGACAGCAGGGGCCGGCAGGGGCGCGTCAGCAGGGGCCGGCAGGGGCGCGCCAGTTGTTGGAGGCCGCGACGGGCTAGAGGCCGCGACGGGCAAGGGGCCGCGACGGGCTAGGGGCCGCGACTGGCTAGGGGCCGCGACAGGTAAGGCGCGATGCGCGCTTCGGGCAGGGCAGGAAAAAAAAAAATTCTAGTCGTGGGCCCTTAAAGAAAAAAACGTTCCCACTAGGGAACCTGCTCAGAATACCATGTTAGAATGTGAGCGAATAAATGATGGAACTAGAAAGCAGGTGGGTACATATAGGAAACCTAAAAGTGTTGTACCCTGTAACAACTACCCCACTACAGCCTAAACAAACTATAGAATATAAGTTTGACAGCATGTGGCCCTGCCCATCTTGCAGCAGCTAGTGAAGAATGAGATGGTTGCTGGCATATGTGTGAAGGGGGAGCCCGATGAGGTACTTGGCTGCCCGACGTGAATGCAAGCCAAGTTCACCCGTTACCCGTTATCTATTTCGGAGGCAACGGCTAAGGCACCACTTGATGAGGTGGTGATGGACGTGGTGGGCCCCCTGAAGCTTGGAGCTGCTGGAGATGAGTACTTTCTCACCATTGTGGACGTCTACACTCGCATGACTTGGGTGTACGTGCTGTCCAAGAAGAGTGACGTGGCTGAAACGGTGAAGACCGATTGGTTGCTGATGGTGGAGCGGCAACAAGACCGGTTAGTGAAGGCAATTCGCACTGATCGAGGGGGAGAGTTCCTGAGCAAGGAGTTCTCATTGTGGCTGAAGAATAATGGCATAAGGCACTCCCTTACCATGCCATACTCCCCTGCAATGAACGGCATCGCCGAGCGAGCGAACCGGACAATCACGGAGACGGCGCGCGGGTTGCTCATTGAAGCCGGGCTACCCGACTATTTCTGGCCTGATGCGATGCGGAGTGCATGTGTGGCCAAGAACAGAGCTTTGACTCATGTGGGAGCAGACAAATGGGTGCCCTATGTGGAGTGGATTGGAAGGAAGCCAAAGGTGGATATGCTTCGGGTGTTCGGGTGCATGTGCATGGCGCTCGTGCCTAAGCATCTTCGGCACAACAAGCTCGGTGCCAAGGCGATATGGGCTGTGCACTTGGGCATGGCTCAAAACAGCAAGGGGTGTCTTCTTTG